GCCAGCCCGCATCACCCGCATCACCCGCATCATTTTGAGGCTGTGGGTGGGGGCAGCACTTTTCTGGCCAGCCCGCATCACCCGCATCATCCGGAGACCGGATCTTGCGGCTGGATCTGGGCAGCCCTGGCCAGCCCACATCACCCGCATCATCTTGAGGCTGGATCTGGGCCGCATCACCCGCATCATTTTGAGGCAGCACGGTGCTTGTCTGGCCAGCCCACATCACCCGCATCATCTTGAGACTGGATGTAGGCAGCTTGCTTGCCTGGCTAGCCCGCATCACCTGCATCATTTTGATGCTGTGTGGGGGCAGCACAGTGCTTGTCCCCCTGGCCAGCCCGCATCATCCGCATCATCTTGAGACTGGATGTGGGCAGCTTGCTCGCCCTTGCCAGCCTTGAGGCTGTGGGGGGGGGGCAGCACGGTGCTTGTTTTCCTGGCCAGCCCGCATCACCCGCATCATCTTGCTTGCCCTGGCCAGCCCGCATCACCCGCATCATTTTGAGCCTGGATGTGGGCAGCTTGCTCGCCGCTGCTTCTGCCCTGGCCCCGCATCACCCGCATGATGCTGCCAGCCCGAATCGCGCCTTGCCAACGTGGATCACCTGTATCAGCTTGAGGGTGGTTGAGATTCAAGCCAACGTCCATGGTTGCCATGTGTGCATGATCCTTCCACTGGAAAAAAGGACCTGTGTAAGAGATTGGCCATTAGGGCTAGTTGAAAAGTAGCCGCACTCGGGGTAGTTAAAATCATGTCCAAGTGATCTTGACACAATCTCAATGCCCCATTCAAAGTGAAGGATCCTTTGTACTTTGCCAAATTGCCCCGCGGCCCTGGTAATCTGGTGGAAACTGCAAGCCCTTTTTGGTGGTGACCAGTTTTGGTGTGAAGCCTGCCAAGCGGACTAGGAACTGGACACCTGTGAATCAGCCAGGGCTTGAAACACATCTCTGGTTGACTGCCAATCAACTTGCTGAGGGAACCGATTGGAGACCACAACAAATGGTTCTTTGCTAGCTAAAACAAAGCAAGACACAACCCCCTTGAGACTGAAACGTTTGTCTGACGAGCTAGCTTCAATCCCATGAGCCGTTTCCAAGCCAAATAAGGCTTTGGTCGTTAGCCATGGAGTCAAAGGCTGCGCAAATGAACCTCTATGTATTTGTTGCTTTGTAGTCTATCTAATAACTTATGTACCTATTCAAATTATTCATATGAACCCATCCCTAAGTTCAGGGCTTGTGAATGGGGAAACGGTGCAGGGAGAGGGTCGGAATCCATGATTGCCGCTCCCCTCTGCCATGGCTGCCTTGGGCCACTTGTGACCCCAAGTAAATCCTATAAGTGAAATTACAATCGTAGGCATTACCCATCTTCACAAGTCTCATCTTGCTGCCAGGAGTCTCAACTACAAAGGAGGTAGCTGCTGCGAGCCAGACCACCTGGATAGATTGCCTTGGTTACGCATGGAGCATCCCGCCATTGGCCACGGAGCCACAATTTCCGGGTTGCTCCCTCAACCGAACCGATCGGCACGCAGAAACATGGCCCTGCAAAGGGACACCAAAGGAAAATGAACCGAGATTCTAGAAAGGAGCCTTCCCTGTGGGTGCCGTCGCAATCCCCGAAACGTGACGTCACTATGATTTGCCCCGGAGAAATGAACACAAACAACACACAAACGCAAATGCCAGTGGAGACCTGGGCTGCTCCTTGGGCTGCAAGAGCAGCATGATGGCTGCAAGCGCTGCAGCATAACCTTGGCCGATTGATGTCGCCCTTGCAAGGTTGGCCCCTGGAAGGAACCAAACCAACCGACCGAACAACCAACCAACCAAGCAACCAACAATGAGATTTGTTTCTGGTGAATATTTAGGCATGGTAGTACCTCGGAATCCTACACTTCAAGGAGATCCCAAGGCGAACTGACTTCCTCCTCGCAGACCCTGAGCTCTTGGACCGAGCGGCTGATAGTGCCGCAGGTGAGGCAGAAGCCCAGGCGTGCGGTTGGCTCTGAGGGCCATGCGCTGGCCCAGGAGCAAATCCGCATCGTCACCATCAGAACGCCTCGCTTCAGCCGAGAAAGTGAGCCATCTCCATCGAACATGGCTGTGGGGTGTGGAAAATCAGCTCTGTGATAGCAGCGTGGGCTACCCCCCTTGGTATCACAGAAAGTGGCAAAGCCCTGAACGCTTCAGTTAACCAACTTGGCAATGTGTCGGCCTCCGGTGGGTTTCCATGGAAGAGAAAGAACGCCCTTGGGGCTTGGTCGAGTTCAAAGGGAACCTTCCAAGAAGGCCTGGGCCAGGATTTTTTTTGAAAACGAGGCAGGTGGGTGGGGGTCTGCTTCGTACTTAGCCGAAGGGTTTGTCTCATTTCAAGACAAGCAAGCCAACGTGTGTGTTGATTGGGTTGATGTGGCAACTGGAACCTGAAGTTGGGGAAAGTGAGACCCATTTGCATACAAAAACGCAAGGAAAAGCGATTGGTTGAATAACTTGAACCTATTATGTGATACCAAAGCGGGCCGTCCCTATGACTAGAAAGTGGCACAAAAAAACAATCTTTGTTTACAACCGCTCGAGGCGACCTCATTGGGACAAGGCGCTGTTGCAAAACATGCCCAAGGGCATGCAAAGCATTGCTATCCTGACAGGGCCGCAGCTGCACAGCTGAGGGATCAAAATACATAAACCCTGAAACAACCCTTAGACGGCCCCATCAACCGGAAGACCCACGTCATTGTCCGCCATGGTTGGCAATGTTGCACTTGTCGGGACGGGTTCCTTCAATATTTCAAGCAACCCCAAACCACCTCAAAATCACCACCACCCCATGTCCACAATATCTGAACCAAACCTGTCACTCATCCCACCCACATTTTGCCCCCAGAAGGCCAGCGCCGGCTCCCGCCCTCCGCCCTCCCGGCTCCCGGCTCCTAAACTCCTCGGGAGAATCGGTCTGCAATATGAAGCCCACGGAGCCCACCACGGCCACGTGGGGCACACAGCCCAGCACGCCCCCCACCACCGGGCCCAGGCGCTCCACGATGCCCGTGATGGCAACCTGACATCGGCGGAAAATCAACGCGCCAGAACCACGGGGCTCCCTAACCCCGGGCCAACCATAGCTTTTGGCTTTTGAGAGGGGGAAACAACAAATATGACCCTAATAGAAAGGGTTTATATTTGAAGCGGCGCCATTACTCCAAAAGGGGTACCCTCACAAAAACAGTTCCTCGGGCTCCCTTTACATGCGATTCCGTTTTGCCACTCCGTGTGTACAGAATCCCTTTAACAGGGTTCCTTAAAAAGTGCACTAACAAACCTTTATGTGCAAGGTCACACACACACACCCAATCAACCTGCTATTTTGGTGCCAAATAGAGGGTCTGAAATCATCACACATTCCTTTTGGCTTCCACACGGCACCAAAAAAAAAGAGCTGTGGGTTATGTAAGTCACGTAGCACTCGGCGATTTCATTTCTCCAGATGTCTGATTCACTCCAAGCCGAGATGCAGTAACGAGACCAGCCACGCAGGCTGAGGTGATCTCCACCGCAAGAGGCATCCCCGATGTTCGTTCGGCGTTGGCCGCACGAGTGAGAAATCGTTGCAAGGTGTGAAACGCAAGAGAAACCGGCCCAGGGGGTGGAAAAGAAGCCTCTGCCTAGAAAGAGCCAGGTTGAGTTGGAAAGGCGATATGGGGCTCTCAGATGACATTTGGGGAACCGTCAGGGGTATTAGACTCAATGTCGCTTGAGTCTTTCAGTGATGGGATGTGCCTTCCAACGCCATGTACCGCGAGAGAGAACTAATCAAACACCAAAGGGAACCTGAAGGCTGCGACCGCGGACCTGAACCCTGTGCCCCTGAACTAAGTCCTGGACCCGCCCAAAAACCCAAGACCAGCGCATGCCCAATTTATGGACCAGCTGGGCTTGCCCCCAAGCTCGAGCCGTGAATTCTGGCGGTGAGCCAAACCTTCCGGTGACTTGAAATTGGGGGGAGCCTCAAGATGGCTCCTCCTGGTGTGCCCTCAAATCATAGGTGGCCTTTTGGAAAAATAGATGGCCCTGGTAAGTGGAATAATCCCCATCTAAACCAGGGCCCTCTATTTTTTAAGCAAACCAACCAAAAAGGACACCTATGCCTCAAATCCAACTCAAAAGGTACCCTGCTAAAAAAAGGCAGGTTTGAAAAGGAACTAGGGGTCAAATCTCCAAACGACAAATCCAAACCACCAAAAAATGGTCCTGAATTAGGTGTCAAAATCAGAGGTCCTGACTTTGGCTTCCCTTCAAATCTAGCCCAAAATAGTACCCTGAAACATACACACCCATTTCCAGGCCGACAAACACATTAATGCCACAAGGAAGTGGAGCGTGTAAAAAGCCCGCTGTTCCTTTTGCTGTGCTCTCAGCTGCAACCAGTGAACCTGGTCAAAAACGATTTGAAACCCTGTGCAGGGTTGACTTCCTTTCTGGGGGGCCCCGCACCCACCCCACACTAGGACTACCAATCAGGGAGACGTTTTCTATTTGTTGGATTGAGGGGAGCATCCTAAACAGCTTTCATGGAAGGCACTCCTAAGAGCAAGCAGAAAAGTGTCAAAACCGACATCAGGTGCTTGAACCGCAGTCTTGAAAGAAGGTAGCTATATACATCTATATACAAATAGTCTAAACAGGTAATCCAGCTTAAACCGGTAACCTGAAGAGAACATGACATGTAGTCTTCAAGCAAGCGCGCTACACACGCAGTCTCAAAATCCAGTCTAAGAAGACTAGTAGCCTTCGAAGTTGGACCAGGGTACCTTCTATGTTTGCTTTGAGCAGGCACCCAGAAAGTTGCCTTAAAGAGTTGAAGAGCAGTTTTTGAAGCAAAGGACCAGGGGACAATGGTAGGCAATTCAATTAATCCCTGGAACCAAAAGGAAACGACAGAAAACCAAAGGCGATGCGAGCCCCTGCGCCATGGAGTGCCACCCCCCCGCCTGTCGCCCTCAGTCTCGAAGCTCCTACAGAGGTCTCCCGGTGCACAAGAAGACTCTCCTGCCTGAAAACTCTGGTTTAATGCCTTGCACGCGTCTTCCTCAAGCAACCAAACATGTGGAGAAGGGCCTACACGATGAGCCTAGGGTTGTGCAGCACTTGTGCCACGGTCGGCCGCTTTCCAAGTCGAGGGCTTCGCCCTAGGGCAACCCGCGGGGTTTGGGTGTTTAACTGGATGCTCTTGGGCAAGGACAATAAGCTGAGGGAAAAGCGTCAGGGTATTCAACAGGCTGGTCGCCATGATCCCTTTGGGAGGGGAACGAGTGGTGGCATTTCCTAGTACGCATAGTGGTTCATCCATCCAAGTTGGTGCAGACTTTTCTTCCTTTGCAGTTGGAAAGGCATTCCACCTGTTTGGTCAGCTTTAGGCAACGAGTTTGGTGGCTCAGGCTTGCTCCGAACCTATCACAATGGTCAAGTCGCGTCTGGGTGCACAAACGGGTGCGTCTCGTCTAAGAGAACACTTTTGGGGTTCTTTTAAACGGAAACTGAAGGGAAGCCACTGTCAAGATTCTCCATTTTCAGACGTGCTCGCAAATGAGGTACATAATTTCCGCTGTTTCTCCGCTTTCGGGAAGCAGATGTCCAACCTTGCCCTAATTACCGCTGGAGTAACCCTGGAGTGTATTGATTGGGTGTTGTCTCTTAATCGGGGTCCCGTGTCGTTTCCAGTTAAGCACGAACCTACCAAAAGGCAATGGACAAAGGGGTGCGTTCTTTTCTCGGGAACCCCTTGAACGGAAGCCAAAAGGAAGTCGTCATTTGTGTGGGTCCTGTCGAGACGATGCCGCATGTTCAAAACACCCATGAAACAAGCAACCCCGTTTTGGGTGTTGATGATTCAAAAAGGCTGAACTGGGCCAAACAAATCAATCCCATGTCGAATCCAGGCGCCCCAGCGCGAGCTCAGGCCCGGCGGAGACTGGCCGGAAGTCTCCGATCAAGGGGCACAGCCTGACCAGAAATGTCCCTTGAGCCTCTGAGCCATCACGGGCTCCATTAGTTTGGGCAGTGGGCTTGAACATCTTCTGACAAAAGTGGCAACCATCAATTTAGTTTGACGTTATACCATCATATTATGGATATGTCAGCTTGGGTAGGGGACAACCCCCCCGCAACTAAGCTGCTAAACGGCCCAAATAAAAGCTGGATGCAAACGCTCACGTGCAACCAACGGTTCTGCAGCAATTCCATGAAGAGAAGCCCAGAGGCAAAAGGCCGCAGCTGCGAGCTGATGTATGCACCAATACTATTCACCAAAATGAGAATTGTGTGTTTTATGTCAGTAAGCTCGCCAAAATTTCTTTGCCGCCAGATCCAATGGATTGGGTAAAATTTGGGCAATAAGCTCAGTAGCTCCCAGTTGGGAGGTTTTCATCCCATCAGCAAGCCCTTCGGCGCGATGGAAAACACTCAACAAGAGCTGATGAGAAGTCTGTCCGGGGCATCCTAAGCTTAAAGTCTTGGAAGAGCAAACCGATTTCCCAGAACCGGAGCAAAGCTTCTGGTGGCAACCAGTGGCGGGACAATGGCACCCTTTTTGCCTGGTCCATGTTCAGGTCCCGAACTCGAAGGGTTCCACTGAACTGGCTTCTGAGCAAGATCCAACTGGACTCGCCGGGTAAGGTTGGTGCGACAAACATGGTCGGGAGGGTCCTTCCGTTGCCGCGGCGCACACAACGCTAAAATGGGCCGAGGTACGCCACCATTGCTCCGCCAGAGCCGTCCTTGCGAGAACCAAGCTGGCCGTATATTTGTGGGGTGCTCCCCACAAAATGTGGAACAGTCAAATCACATCTCCACCATTTTGGTGCCCTTTGGGCAAAATCAAAGTTTTAAGATCTGTAATATGTTGTACCATGTTGTACCCAGATTTCAATCGTCTCCCCATGAAAACCCGGCGATGTTTCTAGCTCTGGTCGATCTATTAGGAACTGACAAAGCACCTTCTTACTGTGCAACCCTCACCCCTATTGTGTACCCCAGTTCACTCTGAAACCATGCCCTCTTGATGGTGTTGCAGCAGCTATGTAAACAGCTAGGGTAGGTAATAAACAATGTCGACTCTGGATGAATCAATACGCTGGACTAAAAGGAGCGGTTGAAGCCTTCTGGCATACACTCAGGAGGCTGGGGGTCCAGTCCTTGATGCCGGCACTGCCTACGCGTGTGGCAAAAACCAGCAAGACCTAACCTTCGTTTACGTGGGTATGTGTCACAACGGGGACCCTCAAAATTGTGATTTTCCTTTGGCTCCCTGTGAAACAAACCCGTTCCCCATGTCTACCAAGCGTTGCCAATGCTGTCTCTCATTTTGCGCTTTCCATGGTCTACCCAGTTGCTGGTGCTGGTGGACACAGAAAACACTTTGTTGGCGCCCGGTCCTGAGCCTCGATGCTGCGGGTCTCCACTACTGCCAGGGCCCACCGCACCTCTGCGGTCAGCGCCTGAGGCCGATGAGGGGCCGGTGAGCTTCATTTTGACGCTCTAAGAGGGGGACCGTCCATTTTGGCTTGTTGGTTGGATCACCATTTTTAGTGGGAAATCCATCAAGGATTTATAGGGTGACACTGAACAAGTTGGAGGGCTGGCATCAGTTCCCGTTCATCTTTGGTCCTTTTTACCCGTTTCCCTCTCAAGCCACGACAAAAAAACAAAAAAAAACAGGCCCGTCAACAAGTCAGCCTTCCTGAGTGCATCGGCCTCCCTGAGTGGCTTGGCCAAAAAAACAGACGACTTTTCGTTTGCTGAGACGAATTGCCAAAGTTCAGTCCAGAACCTCAAGAAGTGAGACCTGACGCAGACTTCCCCTCTCCTCCAGGTCTTCCTCCACGCGCGTGGCCATCGAGACCTCACACTGCGTACACCCCAGCGATCCCAACTTGCAGCGGGTTGGGTATGAGGGGTACGGCCCCAACCTGAGATTTGGTTTATAGCCCCACTAAAGAAATCCCACCAAACTTGGACCCAAGCAGGTCCTGGCATGGGAATGTTGCCCCACCGGTCCGACACTGGGTTCACATCAGACCTTCATTGTGGGTAAGCTCGCATCTTGCCCTCGAGGAGCGCTGGTGGTCAAGTAGCCTCCAAGTTTGCTTGGCCCACATCCGAGGTACACAAAAACAAACAACTTGCTGACCATGTTTCACACTTAGCCTACCCTAATTTGCTTGACACATTGGACTTGTTTAGGAGACTTGGATTGGTCCGTTTAAGACATTCTGCTTTGCGAGCGATGGGGCCCCTTGCAAGGCGCGCCGCAGGAAATGTGGAGCCGGAATTGCCGTGCGGCCACACCACAACCCCAAACCACTACTGGGCACCAGGGACAAAGGAACGACACAATGTGCAGTGGAAACCAATGCGCAAAACGGCCAGATGGTTAGATCTTTGGCTCACACATGAGGACGCCCGGACCCCGGGACATGATCCCGGCTGGCTGACTCTCAACCAAACAAACCTTGTTGGCTTGGTGTGTGAAACCGCATGGCTTCTGTGGCTGCTTTTTCAGAACCTCGGCGAAAACCTCGGCGCTTCAGGTCCTGACCTCCGCCGCCGCCCGGGCCAACAAACGGGCCTGGCGCTCCTGACGGCCGCGAAACCGTGGAGCCCCGCGCCTTCGACATGCCCTTTGAGCACGCCCCGGAACCCATGCCGTGGATGAAGGAAATCCACCACTTTGAAACTAAGAAAAACCATGGCGTGTTTGGTATTTAGAGGGGGGTCATCATTTCAGGGTTTCTTAGGTGTAGGCTTCGTCCATCCTCGACACTCTTAGAAGGGTTTAGGGATGGTACTCGCAGCCCTCATCCTTTTGGACGGCACGCCCATTCCTATTATTTATTGTATCTAGTGTTTGATGTATCTTCCATGGCTTAGGGGTGGCTCTTACCCTGGTTGAAAAAGGGAATTCTGCGGGGTCGATTCCAACTTTGATGAGAACCCATGAGAACCACAACAAACAGGAACTTGAAGGCTTGGAAAAGCAAAAAGCTACTTTGGTCCCTCGGCTTGCCTTGCTTTGCAGAGTGCCCTGGGGCCGGCTCCCTCCATTTCTGCACTGGCGGTCCTGATATGTCCCATGTATGCTGCCTAATTTGTGTATACATTGTGTGTAGATACAAACAGATATGATATAGATATACAAACAAATGTGAGCTCGCCCTCTCGGCTCCTTGGTCTGGGCTTGCAGGTTGCATACCTCACACACACACACACGACCCTCCGATTTCTGCACAGAGCAGCGACCGAGGACTCGCTGACGTTGCCCCGTCTTCATGGTTTTGGGGGGTGGGACAACGATTTGTAGCAGGTCCCGAACCCAAGGAAAGCGAAGAAGGGTTACGAAAGGGATGGAGAGGTGAATACACCACTTCCCACCTCCTTGTCTTGGCGGGGCTCACAGGGCTCGAAAAAGGCTCGCAGGGCTCACATTTTGCAGCTGTCAGGGTTCAACTTGGGGGTGCCGCCGGGCTGCCTATAATCCTAATTCTGCAATCCGAGTTAGTTGCAACGATGCGGAAAGGATGCAATAGCTTCAAAACTTTTCTTAGGGCGATGTATCAAGGATCCCCGGCTACGGAAGGGATCTTCATCACGGTAAACTCGCTTGAACCCGAATCGGTGAGCTTGACATGAAACACGAGGAAGGGTTGCTATTGCACAACCCAGCTGTGTTTGGATGTTGCGGACATAAGAACAGTATGAAGTCAACCAAGATTAGGGGGCACACCTGCAACATGCACATAGAACATTCTATTGGAGGTCAGGGCAAGTAGTTCTTTTGACCCCTTTTGACCTCTAAAGGAAGACTCTGCGCTATCAGGTGGTCCAGACATGTTTCCAAGCAAGTCGTCCAATAAGTACCACGGCCCACTCATTTCCGGGAGCGTCTCGCCTCGATCCGAGCCGAGGCTCGGGCGAGTTCAAAGGCCTCCGGGCT